AGGATAATCCTATGGCAAAGAAACAAAGGGATTTCAGTGACCAGCCAGCACTCCTGGTACAGACTGTTTGACTGAAGCAGAGCAAACCTTGACAACAATATTCTTGGCCTATAATAACACACTGTCAGGTTTGGTTACTCCCTTAACAGCTACAGTTTCCTGTTTTGTAACTGATCAAACCTCAACACCCTTCAAGGAGGTTTGTTGTCGTTTTACTTTGTTTTCCAAGGGCACAGTAAGCTGGGCTGCCCCAGGGCTCTCTTCATGCCAGACAGCCTTATCAGAGCCAGTATCTTGCACAGCCTAAAGCAGGAACTGGCAGAACCTGAGATATCCAACTGTGCAGTGCAGGCATTTCCAGCCTCAGGCTCTCACAGATCTTAGAACAAAACCCTCTGGCCAACAAAATGTGTTACATAGGGTTTCACATATTTGCTCAAAATTATTCAATTTTTTTTGCAAACCAAACAAACATTAGAAACCTGCAGTCTATTTCAATTTCTCTGTAGGCTAGAACGGGTGCACAAGCAAAAGATTCTCCCTTTCATTACTGAGTGTGCTGCAAGACCCCTGCAGATTTTCCTGCATGCAGACATCAGAAATATGGTACTTCTCTTGAGCCAGGCATACCCTCCTGCCTTCTCACATACCATCCTCCTCTCTCATAGTACTATTTTGAGACTTTTCAAACTGCTCCCTATGCCCACTATATTTAATCCTTACCTGTAGCAGCCTCATGTTCAGAGTGAAGTCTCCTTCCAGCAACTGGTCCCGGATGAGTCTGAAAGATGGAAATTATTCCAGCTATTCCTCTTTACAGAGGAACTTTAAAAGCACAGACTACGCTGTGCCCTTACAGAGGTTTTGAAAACACTTTCACTACCCATGTGAACAGTGACTGTAACCTATTCACCAGATGCTTTAACACACACCTACAGAAGACTCAGTGGATTTAGGGAAAGGAGGGAAAGAGGAGAACATGGGGCTCACTGTGTACTTACGTCAACATGGCACAACAGACGAGCAGGAGGAAGTCGAAGCGCTTGTCGTCGGCAAAGAGGGAGTCCCAGATCCGGATCACGTCAGGCAGCAGGAACTCTTGGGACAAGAGCAGCGTCAGCCAGCGGAAGGCAAAGAACTGGGGTTTGATGTTCTGCTCTTGCTGTCAGACAGGCACCAGGCAAAGAGTGAATACGTGCTCCTGGCCAGCTCCCTACAGGCAAGAGATGCACCCCGTGTCTCCATCCCTGTCTCCTCCCTGCTCTAAGCTCCCAGCTCCTCCTGCACCATCAGCAAATCCTCTGCCTCCTTTGGAGACTCTCTAGACAGAGATTTTCAGTGCAGCCACGCTCCACACCTACAGCAAAGCCAGAAAATCCTCCTCTGTCCATGGAGTAAAGGAAGCTTTTCTCCCTAACAGCACTATTTGTGTGAGTTCCGTTGAACCTGCCAAGGAATTGTGAAGTTGCCATTTGAACAGCATTTTATCTGCAAAGCTGCAGCCCTCCCCCGCTAGCAGAGCCACTGTTTGTCAGGATTTCCTCTCCTTCCCAGAAGCCCTGTATTTATCAAAAGGTTTACTATTCAAAAAGAGAAACAAAGATGGATTGCAGTTCACACTGATGGTGAGTAAAACATGCCGTAAGCACTTCCAGCCTGAAACTTTCCTGTTTTCTGATGTTAAATCCAAGGGACCATAAGTTTAAACTTAAGTTCAAACAAGTTCAGGATCCTGCTGACGTTCTCAAGGACCAGCTGCTGCATGGCCAAGACCATTTCCTGTCAGCCAAACATTAAGCAGTTTATTTTCTCCCTACTACATCAGCCACCAGCCAACACTGTGGGTTGTGTCACTGTCCTGACAACCCATCTTTTGGACTATAAAAGAAATATATCCTAATTTTTACAGATGGAAAAAGATCTCAGTGTGATTTGGTGAAGGTTGAAGCAACAAGAACAGCTTTCCTTTCCAAATCCCCCTTGGACTTTCACACCAAGTGGACTATAAGACTGAAGATGTTTATAACAAAAGCTGCCTTCTACATGTTCTACGAAACTCCCGCAAACCCAAGGCACTCAGAGACCTTTGAATGAAAGAGAACAGTAGAACTGGCTGGGTGGGATTGTCCAGCTCACTGGATTTCACTTTTCCTTTAGAATGATCTCCATGCATTTTAAGTCAGTGCTGTCAGGGCAGCCAGTGGCAACAGAAACATGTCCATGGAGAGGAGGAATGTTTTTTGTTGTGCAGCCTCAAATTCGGAACAACTCTACAGCAAACCTATGTGTTGCCTGATAACCACAAGAGAGTAAAGGCTCCAGCTCAACACAGGTGACCAAGGATCATGGCCAAGTCCCCTGGGATTCCCAGCTGGAAGCTGTGCAACAACCATTGTTTGCTTCCAGAGCCAGGCAGGGGAGGAAGCTTTGCTGTGTCAGCTCACCCTGGGCTCACTCCAAGGAGAGGCTGTTTCAGTTCATAGATAAGTCTCTATGACCCACAGGCAAAGCCTTCATATCCCCTCTGTTCTCTTCAAGTACAGTTTAACAAAACTGGCTGACATTCACTGTTAAGCTCCACTCCTCCCATCCCACCCCAGACCCAGAGAAACACCTGGCTCCTCACCAGTTTCAGATATAGCTCCACATCTTTCTCCTTTAGGGTGGAGTACACCTTCTCCATCTTGTAGGTGATACCACACTGAGAATCATCCAGGCTCTTGATGAAGTTGTCCCGAATTTCAGCCATCAGATTGGTAAAGCAAAAAAAGGTGTCTGCTTCAGCATGTTCTGGGGAAAGAAAGTAAAGTCACGGGGGAAGAGAGGAAGCACCACTGACAGAGGAACACAGCTTTAGAACTGTTCCTGCTCCATAATCTCATTGCTGTATTGGATTCAAGGAGTGGATCCCACCAGATCTTCGCTTGCTTGGTCTGGCACAAAGCTCAACCACCATTTTTTGCTTCTTTCTTTTCTAACTAGAAATGTCTACAGAGCCACACATATAGACCCTGTGTGCAACACAAGGTCTCCGTGACACAAGGTCACAATCCAGTTATCTGTGCCCAAGAACATCATCTGCTCTCCCTGCCACCAGCACACACCCTCAGAGCTTCCACAAAGTAGAAGCAACAGGCAAAGTCCTCCCATTCTATTCTTTTCTTACCATGTATATATAAGTATGAGCAAACAAGAGCTTCTAAAGGGATTTAGTGCAACTTTGATCTAAGGACAACAAACAAACCTCCCCCCATCAAATATCCTCACCTCCCATGTCCTCACCACTCCCAGCCCCTTCAGCTCCTACCAATTTGCTTTGATCCCCAAAACTCCTCGTGCCATGCAGAGAACTCCCACTACAACAGCTGTTACTGGGAGTTCAGAAGGGTCCCTCACCTTTCCACTCGCTGTTCGGGTCTGTAGCAAAGGTGTAGTAAAGAGGCCCCACAATCTCGTTCATGCCCTGAACGTAGGCTATCCCAGGATTTAGCTTAGCATAGATGAACAGGATCCTCTCCACCACCTCCCAGTGAGCTTCGCAGCCGTTGGGCAGCACTTCGTACTCGCTCAGAGAGCTGGAGGTGGTTTTAAGAGGGGAGCTCACCTGGAAAAGAAGGCAAAAACCACAGCTGGATCAGGATAACCAACTGGCACAGCTCATTTAGTACACGTGCCAAGCTTGGCATTAAACACACACAGGCCCCAAAAGAATTTGGGCAGTTTGTACCAAAAGAAAGGGGAAGCACACAGGCAGTGGAATCCTAGTGCTGCTGTCTTTGAGGAATGAATCAGCCTGTGCAGCAACACACAGTTTCCCTGAATCATTGCACCACGTGATCCCACACAGCAAGGAACCAGTGTAGTTCCACTTTATCAGTAGTGTGAGGGAAGGTATTGATCTGTTGTGGCAGAAACCACCTTCCACAACAGCACATGTGCTGTGACCCTCAGGAAAGAGGGAAGGGACAACAGATATTTCAGCAGATACCCAGCTCTTCTCCTAATTGTAGCTTTCTGAGCTCCAGTGCCTGATGACTATGTAAACTCATAATAAATTCATGGGTTATTAACTCTTCAGTGGTTTTTTTCTATATAGGAGGGCACATGTCAACTTGTGACTTCAGCTTCTGGTAGAAGTCATGAAAAAAAAACAATCCTTAAAATTAAACCCAGCCCTAATTCCCTGCTGTCTGTCACGCACATCGACTGGTCCTACAACGTGTTCAGTATCTGCTCAGTATCTGCTGGGGTATTTCCTTAATTTCACTGCACAAGCAGAAAGATAAAATAGCAGAAGGAACACCCTTCCCCTTCCCAGTTCCGAGGCCTTGCCCCGTGCCCCAGCACAGCCCCAGCCCCGGGCTCACGTTGGTGACCCCGCTGCGGTTCCGCGCCACCGTCTGCGACTTGAGCGTGGTCTGTTCCACCCGCCGGCGCAGCGTCTCGAACTCGTTCTGGGGGTCCAGGATCAGGAGGCAGGGATAGTCCGTGGGGCGCTGGAAAAATGCCATGTCAGGGTACAGCCTCCTGGGATGGACACAGAAGGAAATCAGGCACGAGGAGGAAGGACGTGCCCCACGTCAAATGGGAGGCCTGGTTTAATATTAAACTCGGTTTTCAAAGTACGGTGTGTTGTTACCAGAACCTCTCGGGTTCAGAAACTTGTGCCTCACACACCTGACATCTTTGTCTATCTGCAGGAGCACCTCGTTATCCTTGAAGTAAGTGTTCCATCGACTGTCTGGATTGGGATTGAGGGGCTAAAGGGAGAAACAACAGAAACAGAACGAGCACGTTTCACATGTATCAAAATCCTTTCTTGCTGTCCCTCTGCCACAAAGCACCAGCACAGTCCTAGTGCAGCAGGGTCATGTTTTTCTCATATTTTCAGCCCTTTTTCATTTGTCACAATGATTTTTTTCCCAGGTATCCTGTCTCATGTCAGTGAGATTCCTGATTGCAGCTCCAACTCTGTACAGTGGAGATGGTTTTTGGACTTGGGGTAAGAATTATCCACCCACCCAGTACTTTGGTGTTCTGGTTATGAGCTACAAGTATCCCCTTCTATCTCAGCTCTGAGAAGGTTGATTAAGCACCACCCCTGTGCCCAGGAAAAAGGAAATACATATTCCATGAACAACCTGTCCTGTATCTGACCAGTTTCCTAATATGATAAACTTAACTCCCTCCTCCACACCTTCCCCCCTCCACACCAAGATCCACACAAAGTTAACAACTAACCAAGAAAACAAAAAGCAACATTCCAAGGGATTCAAAGATCACTCTGACCTGTCTGTGTGGTTTTACAGACACGCCAGTTTTACACCACCAAGGCTCCAGGGATCAGAAGGGCAGATCACTGAGAGGAGTGAGCGTTCAGGGTGGTCATGGAGGCAGCTGTATCATTTTACATTATCTTCTGATCAGTTACTCCATTCCCTCCTCCCACACAAACACTCTTAACAGCACTTTCAGAGAAGCAAAAAGCCAAGGGATGCGGGAAATAGTCCATTTAAAAAAAAAGCCAGCAAGATTACTAGAAGTAAGTGTGTCTTCTGCCTTTCAGGACACAGTCCAGCTTGACTTTCCTGCCTCTTTTCAATCCTCTGCTCAGATTAACCTGTTCTGAGTCCACTCAAGGACCTGACTTCCCAGGAGAGTCTCTCTTTGCTACAGGTGCCTCTCAGGAGCCTCTCCCTTTCCCTGGGAGACCCACAGCCTGGGCAGGGAGCCTGAAATTGGGGGAGCAGGGACATGCACAGCTGGAAACAGCCCTTTTCAGAGCTATTGGTGCTTTGCCAGTAATTCACTCTGAAGGCTCCAAAGATACAAGTGCTGGCACCTGGGAACTTTCAATTCTGCTGGCAAGGGCACAACAGTGGGAACAGAGCCAAGAGCAGCCCAGGGGTCCAGACTCCAGAAAAACAGTTTAGAGCTGTGAGGAATTTTCTGCAGCACAAAGGCTTAACAACACTCACATGATCTTCTAAGGTCACATCTTCCCTTGAAACACCCAGGTTGGCTTTGGCAATCCCAGGCTGGATAATCATCTCCTTCAGGAACTGGGAATAGAGATCCCTTAAGGAAGAGAAGAGGAATTTGTAATGAGGTAGATAAGGTGAAGGTGAGCTCACAGACAGTTTCAACAGATCCCTCTGTCCCATCCTGCTCCTTCTCTTCAGCTGAGTTCAGCTGAAAGGGTCAATCCACCAGGCAGCTGAGAGTACAGCACATTCCACACAGGAACAATTCGTTTTATGAAGGTACTTAATTATTTAAGGACTATTCTTCTTCTCTGCAGAGATCATTAGGAACAAAGGGGCAAAGTACCAATGTCCTCACCTCTGTTTCTTCAGCAAAGCGCTCCATAAGGCTTTCTCTAAAGGGAGGTAGTTCAGGAGTATCTGCACAGGGGACAGATGCACATGAATCAGTGTTAAATGAGCTGCTACACCTGTAGGATCAGCCAACCAAACATGGGGTGAGAACTGGCTCTCTGAAAATACTGGAAGCTTTCTCCAGAAAGCCAAGCACTTTACCAGAAGTATTTCAGGGACTGGTTTCCAACACAGACCTATTTGCAGGACTGATCAATAGCCAACCCAACCAAAATGCTCTCCCAGATTAAAAACGAGGCTCTGCTCACATGCAAAGTGCTGATCTCCCCGAATTCTTGCTGACTTCGAGTGGCTTTTAAAGCTCTGAATTGACTGATTGTTTGTTTACGATTTTAAGCACCCAAAAAAACCACTACGTGCGCTTCACCAACCCCAAGAAACAAAAGCACCCGGGGCAAAACCCACCTTCCAGCAGAGGCAGCGCAGCCCACCATCGAAGGGGATTCCTGCGGAACACCAGGCAGAGAAACAGCCACGTTAGCCCGTCCCGGCAGCGCTTTTGCTCCCGAGGCTTCCCCAGGGCGCTGCCGGGGTTGTCCAGGTGGGTCCCACCGGGATACTGCACCACCTCAGGGCCGCCGCCGAGCCCGAACCCCCTGCCCAGCCCTCCCTGAGGGCACTCACCGCTGAAGCAGAGCTCGCGGAGCTTCGCCAGGGCCACCGTGGGTTCGCCGAGCACCTCCTGGAAGTCCGCGATCCTGAGGGGAGCGGAGCCGCGCGCGTCACTAAGGGCTGGGATGGGCACGGCCAGAGCCCCCAGAGACCCCGAGCCCCCAGAGCCGCGACTCCCCAGAGCCCCCTCGGCAGGGAGAGGAGGGGAGGGGGCCCAGCCTCGGCATGGACACGGGCACATGCACGGACACGGACACGGACACGGACACGGACACGGACACGGACACGGACACGGACACGGACACGGACACGGACACCGACCTGCTCTGGTGCATCCGCGACATGGCGGCCCCGGCGCCCCCTCCCCGCGCGCCGTGAAAAGGCTCCGGCTGGAAACGGGGCCCGGGGGTGTAACGGGACCGGCCCCACCCGTGACCCCGCCCTCCATCCCTCGCACCAGGGGCTGACAGAGGGTGAAGCCCCGCCCACAACGCGCTAAGCTCCGCCCCCGACCGCCTCAGGGCGCCTTTCCTGCGCGCCGACCCCTCCCTTCAACGTGGGCGTGGCCCTAAGCCCCACC